TCTGGGCAGTTCCTCTTGAAATGACCGTCTTTGTGACAATGATAGCACTTAAAAGATCCCCTTGATGACTGATTCCCGCCATCCTTGCTTGACCTTGATCTGTACTGACCATTTCTTGAATCTTTCTTGTTCGATCTTCCTCTGACAATAAGACTGTCTCCGCTGACTTTCTTGTCCCTATCATGCTTCCTCTGAAGTTCTTTGGCTCTAATCAGAGATTGAACCTCCTTCAGAGTAATAGTTTGCACCCTTCCATAGAGCATCGCATCCTTGAAATGCTCGTAGCTCTTAGAAATAGAGTTTAGCAACATCAGTGCTTTGTCCTCATCGTCCATCTTGATGTCGATGTTCTTGAGGTCGTCGATGATCTTGTTGAACTCGTCGATCTGCTCTGAGACGGATTTGTCATCATGCATTTTGAAGGAGTATAGGCGCTGCTTCAGAAAGAGTCTATTAGCCAAAGGCTTTGTCAGGTAGAGTACCTCTAGTTTGGCCCAAAGCGCTTGAGTCGTTGTCTCCCTCGACACCTCCCTCAGAACTTTGTCGCCCAAGCTCAGGATTATCAAACTGTGTGCCTTGTCCAGTATGTCGATCTTCTCCTTCTCGGTCATGTCAGTCGGCAATGTCGCTGACCCTTGCAAGGCTTCTGCAACACCTTTACGCGGGCACCTCTAGCCAAGAAGTATGGATCTTCCCACAGACGGCGCCAATGTAGGTGGGAGGCAGGGGAGCGGTAAGTGAGCGGTAGGTGAGATGGGGCAGGGTGGCGGGAGTCAAAATAACAAAAGTAATAATTCATTTTTATATGTTTTGTGCAAGCGTGAAACACCGGGTTGTGAGCTAGGATAATAGCAGACGTGCTTTTCTGTAAATCATTGTTGGAGGTGTTGATGTTCCGAAGAGCTCATGTAATAACCTTCCTACCTAGAGGATTTATATTATTGCAGTTTTGAGTCCTTTGTACTCTACTTTCATAGAGGATCTGACAACTGTTGAAGTCAAGTTGGGTCTTAAGATACAAATCTCATTGTTGTCGCTTCCCTGGTCTACATCAGCATATGCTTATAGTTGAAGTGGTTCGAGTGTAACAGGATGTTCATAATGTAGTGTACCTTCGAGATACCTGAGAAGTATTTTTTAAAGTTGGTGGTGCAGAGTGTTAGGATTGTGCATGTATTAACTTAAAAGATTTACCGTGAAGCCTATGTCAATTCTAGTTATAGCGAGGTATTGAAATGATCGTATAATTTTTTTGTAGTGATGACTGCCAATCATTGGTGTTGGTGTGATCGTGTGTTCATGTGGATGTGCCGGTAATGGCGTCAACATAGGTTTAGCTTGCAACCTTCTTGATTTTGTGAGAATATTACTCAGTTATGTTGTTTGATTTAAAAATTTACAAAGTCCGAGAAAGTGAGAGATGTTAGCAAATTGTTTTAAATTAAATTGCTTACAAAGTTTGTGAATCAATGAGTTAATAGCAGTGGTAGAATTTCTCATTTTTAGAATATCATCTACATATACTAGCAAGTAAATATGGTAGTATTATGATGATATATAAAGAGGGATGGATCATCAATGCTAAGTTGAAAATGTCGTGCATATAGAAAGTTAAAAAAGTAGAATACTAATAACACAGAGCTTTTTTGAGATCATAAATTACTTATGTAACTTGCTTACATAGTAAAAATATTGATTATTTTTGAAGCAAGAAGGTTGAGACACATACACAATATCTTCAAGTTTCTTGTCTAAAAAACATTTAAAATATCAAGTTGTTGTATTTCCCATTGTGTTTTTGTGGTAAGTGCAATGAGCATGCAAATTGTTGGAAATTTGGCTACTAGACTACATGTCTTTTGATAGTCTATCCCTTCTTGTTGAGAGAATCCTTGAACCACTATTCTAGTTTTATGTCTTCTTATTGATCCATCAACATGATGTTTTATTTTGAAAGTTCATTTTAATCCAAGGCATGTGAATTTTAGACGGAGGTGTTGAAGTTCGATTCTTCTATTTTTGCAGAGCCATAAATTCTTCAACCATTGCATTTCTCTACTATGATTGTTTGATAGTCTAATTGAAAGATGTGGGTTTAGCTTTTGCGGTATTATGTAAACGGTTAAAAATCTTTACAGGTTTGAGCTTTCCTGTCTGAAACTGTTTGACCATATGATTTTTTCGTGGATGTGGAGGAGAAGTATGAGTGTATGGTATTTCTAGTGGTGTGTGTGGAGGAACTTGCACCAATGATGCTGTCAAGTGTAACAACGATGTTGGGTGTGTAGGTAGTAGGTGACATGTCTTAAGTTTTATTAGTTGGGAAAATGAGAGTATAGGTGGGTATAAAATTGATGGTGGAGGCTATGAAGTGTTTGTTATTAGCATTGGTATGAGTGGTGTAGATCATTTGTAGGTAAAATTATTTCAATAAAAGGAACATGCCTAGATATGATATTTTTGTTATTTTGAATATCAAAGTGCTTATAATCTTTGTGCTTTTGACTATATCTCAGAAGAATACATAGAGGAGCGCTTATGGGCTAAACTTATGGTGAGTTTGATGTTGATGACAAGGGAAGCATACATTTTATGTATGAGGGCAACTGAGTTGATCAAATGTATGAGGGCAACTGAGTTGATGCCCAATGGCTTATGCTTACAAATATTTTTGTAAATGGCGTGAGATCTACTCTCCTCCCTCGTCTATCCTCAAGTATTTTATGTATTTATTATGATGTGTGAGTCATTGCTTATGCAAATTTTATACACAATGATGAAAAGATAATGGAGGCAGTCTATAAGTGGTACGAGGTTTTTTTTCTTCTAAAGTTTAAATCATAAAAAATCATAGTCTGCTCAATTAAAATAATATATAATACAATATATGATGTTTCTATGTATAAATATCTTTTGAAGATTTACATGCACGCCACTCCCTCAATTCCTATGTATTTAAGCTCCTATAGCTTTTTATATTTAGACCCATCAAATATTTCATATTACATCAAAAATAGAGAAATTTAAGTATGCACCAAAAAAATTCTTATTTTTTTATTTATTCACACCTAATATATATATACATATATATGGCGCCA